GTGAAGCAGGGATGCGTGCTGGCACCAACCCTCTTCATTCTTATGTTCTCTGCCATGCTGATGGACGCCTACCGCGACGAACGCCCCGGGATCCGCATCGCCTACAGGACGGACGGTCGTCTCCTGAATCACCGGCGCATGAACTTCCAATCGCGTGTATCCACAGCCACCGTGCACGAACTCCTCTTCGCCGACGACTGCTCCCTAAACACCACCTCGGAAGAGGAGATGCAACGGAGCATGGACCTATTCTCCACCGCCTGCGAGAACTTTGGGCTGGTTATCAACACGCAGAAGACGGTGGTGATGCATCAGCCGCCTCCCAACTCAGCCACAACCCCCAACGCGCCGCAAATCAACGTGAATGGGACTCAACTGCAAGTGGTATAGAACTTCCCGTATCTGGGCAGTACCCTGTCCCGCAACACCAAGATCGACGACGAAGTCGCCAACAGGATCTCGAAAGCCAGTCAAGCCTTCGGTCGCCTCCACAGCACAGTTTGGAATCGTCATGGTCTCCAACTGAGCACAAAGCTGAAGATGTACAAGGCCGTCATCCTGCCGACGCTACTGTACGGAGCAGAGACATGGACGGTGTACACGAGGCAGGCACGTCGACTAAACCACTTCCACCTCAGCTGTCTCCGCCGCATCCTGAGGCTGAACTGGCAGGACCGCATCCCCGACACGGAAGTACTGGAACGATCGGGAATCCTCAGCATCTACGCCATACTGAGACAAATGCAGCTGCGCTGGAGCGGCCACCTGTTGCGCATGGATGACGAGCGTCTACCCAAACGACTCTTCTACGGAGACGTCGCGACGGGTTCTCGCCGTCAAGGAGGCCAAATTCGCCGTTACAAGGATACCCTGAAGTCCTCCCTGAAGCGCCTGCAAATCAACCCGACCAACTGGGAAGAGCTCGCTCGCGATCGTCCGACATGGAGGAGAACAGTGAAGACGGGCGCTGCTATCTACGAAGCCAACCGAATCGCCGCCGCCAAAGTGAAACGCGAAGCCCGCAAATCACAACTTCGCCCAGTTCGCAACGCCGCCGCACAACATCTCCCTACGTGTCCTCGATGCCACCGGACATTCCGGGCACGAATCGGACTTGTTGGACATCTTCGGATCAACTGCACCTCTCGAAATGCTCCAGCCATCGTCCCCCCGCCCGCCTCTTCCTCGTCCTCTCTGCCGCCAACTAACTCTGACACTCCATCCGCACCACCACTTCCATCCTCATCGTCCTCCTCCCTCTCCACTGCCCCAGCGACGGCTGTTCAGACTGCTGTCTCACACATCACCAACCCCAACACAACAACCAACATCACCTCTCCCACCTCTCCCGATATCACTGATGAGGATCAGGACTACACCTGCCCTCACTGTGACCGCACCTTCACCTCACACATCGGCCTGGTCGGTCACTTGCGAATCCATCGCACAGAGACTGGCGAACCAGTGCCTGGAGCACCAACCTACACCCACCGCACTCGCCTCCACTGCCCACAATGCCCTCGCACCTTCACTCATCGCATGGGTCTATTCGGCCACATGCGCATCCACGAGAGCGGAACTGACCGCAGCCTTGACACACCCACCCCGCCGAGCCCCACTCCCAATCCACCACCTTGTGCACCCACTAACCACTCCCCAACCGACATCGACGCCACCGACCTTACCACCTCCCACTCCTCCCCTTCCTACATCACTGCCACAACGACGGCCGCTTCGGCGTCTGTCGCCCACGACTTCACCACAGCCGAACCTGACACACCAACAGGCACAACCCCTGCAACCTCCATCATCAGACGTGAGGGCCAGGACTACATCTGCCCTCACTGCGATCGCACCTTCACTTCACGCATCGGCCTGGTCGGTCACTTGCGAATCCATCGCACAGAGACTGGCAAACCAGTGCCTGGAGCACCAACCTACACTCACCGCACTCGCCTCCACTGCCCACACTGCCCTCGCACCTTCACGTATCGCATGGGTCTATTCGGCCACATGCGCATCCACGAGAGCGGAATTGACCACAATTCCGATACAGCCACGACATCCAACACATCCACCACGCCCAGACCCAACCTCGCTCCACCGTCGCACGCGCCGACCACCACCACCAACACCACTGATCCTCTACAGCTGACACCGACACCGCCGACCTCTCATGCCCACATTGTCCACGCACCTTCACCTCACGCATCGGCCTGGTCGGTCACTTGCGAATCCATCGCACAGAGACTGGCGAACCAGTGCCTGGAGCACCAACCTAGACCCACCGCACTCGCCTCCACTGCCCACACTGCCCTCGCACCTTCACGCATCGCATGGGTCTATTCGGCCACATGCGCATCCACGACGACCTGCGGTAGACAACCGCCGGTCACACCACACATTCCCTCACTCCCTACCTCCTAACACCATCACCCCACCAGACATCAACCCCACACACCTCATGCCCTCAACTGCCGCCTCCCACGCAAGTGGGAAGTGTGCATCTCGACTCGGTCCCCATGCGGCTTCGGCTGCACGGGTGACTTATGTCCGAGACTATCCCGACACTTCAAGCGTCGTGGATAGGAAGGTTGCTGATTGACGCCCGCTCTCGGTCCACGCAGTTCGTCGCGTTGTGTGTGTGTGTCTGTGTGTTGTGTGTAGTGGCGGACTGGTGGGCTGGGGATGGGCTGAAGCAGCACCTTCCACGGCCCTCTTACGCAAGTGGGAGACACGCCGTTCTACCCCCGTTGTGTGAAATCCTGGTGTTTGTGTGTATGGGGGGCCAGGTCGTGCTGTGGCGCGCGCAGGCATGGTCAGTCGACCATGTCAGCCACCGCGCCCATTCCCCACTCCAGT